ATTGCAAAATGTAAACAAACAATATACATGTAGTATTTTGACTTCTATACAAAATACTAAATCACTATAATTGTACTAATTGCAAAAAGAGAAAAGAAGCAAACGATGGTTCCGCTTTACATACAATGAATAACATCTCTAGAAACTATAAGAGGGCAACAAAAATTAAAAAAGAAACCAAAAAACTTTTGAAATATAACAATGATTGTAAGGCTTTTAGGGCCTTTAATTCAACAAACTATCCAGACACTGGACAGCGATTATCAATGGGAATTTCGAGTATATAGGTAGAGACAAGTGTCGGAAAGTAACTATACAGAAACGCGTGCACTGGAGTTTAATGATAAATACATATGTTACTGATATTTCCTTTTTTAAAATTTTTGATTAACATGTCAGTTGAACATAATGGGAGAACACCATACTCAACCGAGATATCCATAACCCCTTGACCTTTAATGAATAAGAAATAAACATGTTAATTAAAACATTTTATAGAAAAATATATACAACTCAGGAGATCAATATCCACCAATGTCCGATGTATAACCTTATATCAATCCTTTTTTAAAAACAAAATACATTCAAAAGTTCAAATGCATAGTTTTTATATGGATAAATATACTGTGTTTGGCATTTTTATTTGAAAAAAATAACGCTTCAAAGTTTGCATGTTTGTAAACAGTTTTATAGTTTCAAGGTAAATGGTATTTATTTTTGTTTTGTTCGTTTTTTTTCCGATAAAAGTATGGTTATTTCTTGTGCATTTGAAGTTGTAGTACATAACTTGGTTATCATTCTTTTTCTGTTGTTGTTTTTTTCTGTTATTGTTGAGTTTATTAATAAAAAACAACAACAACAAACAAAATAAAACAAAACAACAACCTGGCGATATGATTTTGCAGGGTCAAAACAACATCAAATTCGGTATACTTGTACCTGTTTTAACATCATCAACATTTTACATTTTAGCATGATGCATATAATTGTCTTATTGGCCTCCCGTGCATCACAAAGGTATGTATACAGTATATCGAAGAGAATGAAAATATACCATATAATTATCTATTAGGCGCATTCATTCAAAATCAATAGCTCACCATTTGGCAATTTCATATTATTTAAAGACAAGATATACGACATGCCCGGGGTCAGTACCCTCAGTGCCTGAAAGGGCTGATGGACCCTTTTAAGCTTAGAACAAACACACACGCACACACACACACACGCACGCACGCACGCACGCACGCATGCAACCGCGCGCGCGCTTCAAAGTCTGTATTTTCAATTACGTAAGTTCAATGTTAGAACAAGGTTTTTTTTCTTTCAAGATCTAAACCACCAATTATTAGATCGTATGAGAAGCCTGCAAATATTTTGCCCAAGACATAACATAGAGCGACGACAAGATTAGGAAGAGATGCTTTATCAAAAAAATCGACATGTACCTTCTGGCAAACCAAAGAGTGTCAGTAAATGTCTCATACTGCCAACTCCTGTCAACTGCAAAATAGCCATTAAAGTCCTAGAAATAAGTCAGGAATGACACAGATGTTACACGGAAAAGGTTGCTTGTTGAAGGACATTACTAGTATACCCAGGATCGTGTACCCATAGCATGTTATAAACCTTTAATAGATGTGTCCATGACTGAATAAGTGAAAGATCATCCATCATTTTTAGAGAAATTGTCAGAATATGTAGAAACCGGATACCGGATAATAGTGCCGACCATGTTAAGCGGGACGGACGTGTCGGCTGATCTAGGTCTGCACGAATCGCAAGGGTATATTCTGTTTTTGACTTTTCGTAAACTCTCATAATTTTGTCTCACTACCTTTCAATTTGGAACCATTAACCTTATGTCCGAATTTTGGGCCGTTAAACTTAAATATATAAAATTATATTATAAAAATGACAAGATTGTTGTACCTATATCTTGTGACAGATTGTATTACTTCGCTTCATTCTCATTTTTACCATATTAGGAGAGTAAAACTCCACATGGGATTGTCACTTGTTATTGTTAGAGTCCAATACCCGCTCAATCAATTTGTTGACCAGTGATCAGTCGCCAAAGAAAACATTAAAACAGCGCAATCAGCGAAATGAACAGTGAAATGACCAATGACTCAAAACAGTACAATAATAAACAGTTGAGACTAGTAAAAGAATAAGAAACTAAACTCTTTCAAGACAATGAAAAATAAATAAGGCGAGGACAATCCCACAGTTTGTTGTAACTTAATCGTTTCAGAATTATCTAATCATTTAAATAAAACACATCCTTTTAGTTGTTCTCTTTTCAACTTAAGTAAGAATATAAAATTAGTTCCGTAGGACTGCCTCCATTCAGCGCCAAATGTAAATATTAAAGTTTGCCACCAACGTTCAGAGAGACATGAACATACAAATATTTAAAGGCACATTATGTCTCAGAAAATTCAAATCTATACTTTTTTTATTCTTTGGCATTAAACAATGCTTTAATGCATATAATGAATTTAGAGCATCTTATATAGATGTTAAACAACCGACGAATGTAGCCTTAAATGTGCAGTAAATATAGCAAAATGTAAACAAAGTAGTACTTTGATTTCTATACAAAATCACTATTTTTATACCATTTGCCAAAGAGCAAATGATAGTTCATTTATATAGCCAAGTGATAACTATTTTTTAATCTGTAACAATATACCAAAAATAAAAAGTTTTTGAGAAGTAAAAATGATAGCATTTCGGAGGCTTGGTGGGCCTTTAATTAAGATCATGTAACTCAAATCTTTATGGTTTTATATCATAAATATGATGCTCAAATGAAGATTTGTCAATATTGTAAGTTTCAAAAAGCATTATTTGTAAAGATATTACAGCATTTACAATTCATGAAAATAAAGGGAGGTAATTAGAAACTCATTTTCGATAAAGTCTTAGCCAATTTTTTAATAAGAAATGAATACATATATTTTAATGATTACTTATAATGCGTATAAACATTTGCAGTACATATTTAATATATTCTTGATTGTTTGGAAGAATAATTATATACATATATAAAATTTCACGTGTTGTTACATCCTTAATTACAACATACAGGATCTTTAACATCAGTCTATACATGTATGTTGTAGGTTACATTATATAAAATAAAGAGTATGAAACTTCACAAAAATGAGTTATGAAACTTCGAAGACATAATAAAATATTCAACAAGTACTACATGTGTATATATGTGTACAGAGTGAAAGCATGTGGAAACTATGCTATTAAATGCTATGATAGAACTAAAATTACTTTAGAAATCTTTGAAATATAAAACTTACACTTAATTCATTAAAACGAATTAGAAAAAGTTAGTTTACCGTCGTAAAGTTATATTATCATGCCCGGCCGTAACACTATGTTAAATAACTGATACATTTGGAAGGAAAATGTAAACTTTCTTTTATCGTCATATGTAATGAATTACTTGTTTTGTTAAACAAACTGATATATTGGTACAATAAACAATTAATTAAAACTTCTTTTAGTAGGCCTTGTTATCGCACATGTAAATTAAGTAAGTCGGCAAGTCCATCGATTGGTTGGTTGGTTGGTCGGTCGGTCGGACAGTCCATCGATTGGTTGGTCGGTCTGTCTCTCTTTTCTGCATGTAAAGTGTGAGTGAGTTGATTGTGTGTTAAGACACGTCTTACATAATATAGAAACATATACAAATGTTTAAATACAATGTAACAGGAACAAAAACACTGGTTTCGTGGACCTATAAGGAAAATAACACTCTTTAGCAAGTTATGTGTTTGCGACAAATGGTGAATCTAAACCGAACAAAAAATAACTATCAAAGAAATATTCGAATACTTCTTATTATCTGCGTCATTTCGCACCATCGAGAATAACATGAAAAACATGTTTCGTGAGTATCTGAGTGGTGTGTGCGTTTGATGTAAAAATGCGTCCTGCGATGTAATTGCAAGACATCTTTCAATCAAAGCAATAAGGTACGAAATGGTTTTATACTGTAGTCATTTAATTTCACATATTTTTATTAAATGATCCGCGTCACGACAAAACCAACATAATGGGTGTGCGACCAGCATGGATCCCGACCAGCCTGCGCATCCGCGCAGTCTGATCAGGAGCCATGCTGTTCGCTTACCAACCCTAAAGCAAGTAGAGAAACTGATAGCGAACAGCATGGATCCTGATCAGACTGCGCGGATGCGCAGGTTGGTCTGGATCCATGCTGGTCGCAAACCAATTATGTTGGTTTTGTCGTGACGCGGCTCAAATATCCATCATCACTTACTATTTATTGTGATATTTATAAAGAAAAACGTCAGCAATTACACTAGACTGGTTAAATGGAAGTACATGCATTAACCACCATCTGCGATTCCGTCCCGAGCTCCTATATGGAGAACCATTCAGTCACTTCGTGGACTGTCGGTGTCACAATATAAATAGTAACACAAACATTGATCGTATATATACCAACATAAGTAATTTATAACACAAATTCATGCGTGCAATATTATAGCCGCATTAACGAGAGACTTATTAAATATATAAATGGGTCGCTTAAAGCGGACGGAATTCGAGTTTCAGCTATGTTGATGCTTGGTTAAGTCAAACAACCGCGATTCAAATTCAACATCATTAAGACAATCAATCGATCTTTGAAAAAAGTAAATTGCAGGTTAATGGCCTATGTGTAACCAAATTAGAAATGATGATAGAGTATGATGTAGGGTTATGGCGTTGACATAAACTGCGTTTTAAATGACAATAATAGACATTAATTATAATACACCAATCACATTATGCATTAGGAATAAAATGTAGTATAATAATAAAATATATATAGCTTTCTTTAAGTGCACAATTTAGTAGCTAGATCATTATTGATAATTGAGCCGCGCCATGACAAAACTTAATGCGACCAGCAGTCTGATCAGGATACATGCTGTTCGCTATCAGTTTCTCTGTTTGTTATCCATGTTGTTCGCTATCAGTTTCTCTGTTTGTTATAGGGTTTGTTTTTGTGTACGTGTTTTAGAGCAAGTTTTGAAAAACTTCCATATCCAGCAATGAAGTTATTGAATACATTTTCATCGGAGAAACAACAGAGATGAGACAGGCAGGTAGGAAAAAGCAACTCTGCAAGGTTCTAGGACAAATACAAACTTTCCTCCTAATAAAAATGACCTCAAAATACTTCACATCTTCTTATATTACAAAGATGTTATATATCATCAGTCCATAGTAACGCTTCGATTTTATCTTAATTTATGTAGATTTTAAGAATAAAGTCCAAGAAATTTATGAATAACAAAAATATGAAATATGTTATTGTTATCGCTGCTGTTGAGGATTTTGATGTCGTTATGTTTTGCTGTTGTTTTTGTCGTCATCGTCGTCGTTGTTGTTGTTGTTATTATTCCGCTGATCCAATTAGAGCAGAGACTGTTGCTGAAAATGCTGTCAGCGCAACGATGTGGAAACCTAACATGGCCATCTTCAACATATTGTAGTCCTGAAATATATATGTCATGGGACATTTTTTTTATTTATTCCTATGAAATATACTTGGTCATTGTAAATTTAGATGAACTATTGCTCGGAGTTTTCTTTTTATTCATGCAGAAACATCATCATTTTTTAGAAATTACACACACATATATAGCACATGAATAACTTATCCAGTTTGCTAAATAATTGCGGTTGTTGTTGGAATTTATTTGCCATTCTTTCCACCGTGACAGCTTTACTTTAAATGTATGTCTATTAAGATATATTGTAATATAATAAAGTATTTAAATAAAGTATGTTTTATAGATCATTGAACATTTGTTTTATAGTGCCATGTGCATGTGAAAACTATGTCCCGGACAAAATATACACGTTTAATCATCTCATATCTAAAGGTGAACATCTATGACAAAATGTCTTAATTATTATGATTAAATAAATGGTCCCTACACAAATTTTCATACTTTTATATAGCATTTGACCTCTACATGTGTCTTGGAATTGATGAAATTTATGATATATTAGTGTATTTAAGAAAGTAAACAAATAGTTTAAACAGTGTCATGTTTGCACCAAAGATATAGAGTGAGACTGGGGTAGGTTACCTTGGTTCTTTTGTTTCATTTCCTTACATGTATAATCTTATATCATCACATATTATGTTTTTATGACCTTATCATTGAAGTTGAATGATAGTTAAAGTACTAAAATAAAGGTTATACATTTATGTTAAGAGAATCTGTCTTACAATGAAAAAAAGCATTTAAAAAAAATCAGACTCATTCTATGTAAAACACTTCCGTGTATATGTTCCTTATGCATGAATATTTGTGAGAAAAAATGTATAAGACAAGATAAGATATGCTTACGCTAGTTTTAGCATCTTTCCCTGGAACTGCATTCCCTGAATTCTGGAGCTCAAACTCGTGCGTCCTTTTACCTACAAAATGAACGAAGGGGAGACAAGACTTACATTATTGGCATTTATTCTAAACAGAGTTTCTTCCCTTGCAAGTGATGGTACAGTGACAGCCAGCTACAATATTGCATTCCCTTTTTATTAAATTTACGGGGACTCTTACAACCAGGCATAATCTGAATGGTATTCTTCCGCGTTTTAATTGTTTGTCTCTTTATAATCATAATGATAACTCTTAGTGTTCAAAACATCTCGCCGATTACCAAATGGTAATCGGAAATGTCCGAAACTGTTGCAAACTAAACTGGTTTCTGTCTTTTGATAGAGTTTTTAAATATTAAACTTATTTGAAGAATACAACTTATTTTGCTTATTTCATGACCGAATGGTCAATACTTGTAAAATGTTTGTAATACTTATTTCATATAAATTAGTATGAACCTAATCTCCCATCAGGGAAATTGCTCATTACATTACGACATAAACTATAAATAACTTGGATGGCTGTTGTTATACAAAAAAAATCTTACTTTTCTGGCTCAAATACCAATCGTAGAGTAAAAGACCGATTTCAACAACGAATGTCCATCCACAAAATACACCCAACAATATCACAGCGGCAGAAGATATTTCTAAAGTATTCAAGATGACTCCAGAGAACATGTTAATAACTGGAAAACAAAGAAAGAAATTGTTAGATATACCTATATAGTCAATCATTACCACTTTCTGGAACACAAGTGACATGAAAATGTTCATTGCAAAACTTTACTTTTCATGTCTTTTCATTTTTTAACATTTTTTTGTTCTTTTTGTTTTTGTTTCTATTTTGTTCTACTCTCAAGGGCTATAACTTTTAGTGCAAATACTATTTTCATAATTATGATTTTATATTCCAAAATGTACTTTCCTACAAAGAAAGAAAAACTTAAGAAAACAAAACATAGTTTATTTACTTACCCGCCATGATCTGTCCAGCTACTCCCACAAAGGTGTGAGCCACTCGGAAAATAAATCTTTTTGTTGTCCCTGGTTTAGGACGGAAGAAAGCCATGACAGGCTAAAACAAACAACGTATGTGTGATAAGTATAAAACGTAGATTGAAAACATGTAGTATTTCAATAAACTTTAATAGAAAGCTAAGTGTTTTATCTTCCGTATGCGTGATTTTCTAAAACACCTTTATGGATAATTAAATTAATATGAGTTACATTCTCAATTCGAGAGTAGAGAACAGACCAAAGTGTGTACACTTACATTAATCAAGACAATGTCGATTATAGAAAGCCCCGGATGAGACAAATACATACACTTATATATATACATAACAGTGGAGTGATTCCAAGCACACTAACATAACAGTGAGGATTATTCCAAGCACCTGATGTGATTATTACGTACACTTACATAACAGTGAAAATGATTCCAAGAATACGTACACTTACATAACAGTGAAGATGACTCCAAGAACCGGATGTGACAAATACGTACACTTACATAACAGTGAAGATGATTCCTTGCACCAGATGTGACAAATACATAAATACTCACTATAATCACGGCTAGGACAATGTCAGTTATTGAAAGCCCCGGATGTTACATTACGCACGACTAGGGCAGCGAATATGATGTGACAAAAACGTATGCTTACATTAAGAATGACAAGAGCCATGACTATGATTCCAAGTACCGGATGTGACTTCTTGAAGGTTGTTCCAACTATCTGAATGATATAAGAACGTAAGATTATAGAAAAAAACTTATAAAGAGTTGAAGTGTATAAATTAATTTATATATATTTTGACTGTAGTTTACAAAATCATGGTTTGAATTTTGAAAAAAAAAATCCTAAATACCTGTACGAAAGAAATATGTTTATTTGCTTAAAATGCACGAAATATAGGTTTAAACCTTTCTCAGTCTAAGAATGTAACTGGTCTGTATTAATATATGTATATGAAAATGGGACTTACAGTGACATATCCGCCAACGTCAACAAAAATCATGATGAAAGATATCAGTGTAAGAACTAACACGCACACCATACACGTCCTATGTATCTGAAATATGTAACACAGAACACGAACAATAAGCATATGTGAATCTTAAAATGAACCATATTATTGTCTGTACGTCAATATTTCACAAACCATATGCACATATTCTAAATTCTAAATCTCTAGGCCCCTATATATCTCTAGGCCCCTTTATTATTATTATTATTATTATTATTATTATTTTAAGAATTTGATACACGGCAGAGTAGTGCTTTGGCCCAAAGGAAATACATACTTATTTCAGGGCCGATTATCACTTCCAAGCCCGTCTATGACACACCCTTCCCTGCTCGTCAATGACACAACCACATGGGGTGTGGAGCTCCAAACGCATTAAAATTCAAATAAAATGTATATTTGTCGATCCCAGCACATATCAATCAATAAAACTTAATATATTGACCATGATCGTGGAGAATAATATGCGTCGATGTACAAAAGGATCATATAAAAATATTGGAAATGGTATAAAAAAATGATTTTAAAGTAAGGTATGTGGGTTTTTTTCCAGCACCCTTTTTTATTTTTTTTTATTCCAAAACAGCTGATATTAAGTTTTATTGATATATATGATAAGTATACATTTTATCTGGATTTTAAGACGTTTGGAGCTCCGCTCCACAAACCAATAATTATTGTCTGTGATATGTTATGTTGACGGCATGATAATCTTACCGTGAACCAAGGTTTAACACCGAACCATTCCACATGTTCTGGCCATGCTGTTTTATAGAAACGTGCGGCAAATACCCCTAGTGTTGAAAACAATGTCCAGGCAAACACCATTAAAATGCCTGAAAATGAAAAAGTTAAATGTCTTGTTAAACATACTATTTTCGGAAGTCTTGATCTGGTGCAAACCGCCTCCAGACGCACACGCTCAAAAACGCATACATAAAATAAAGACCCTGTGTGGTTAAATTTCTTGCGTTATAAATGTATACAAGAAAAGCATTGATGCAAAGCATCAAAGGGCGTCCAAGAAAGAAATGCAGCAAGTGAAGATGAACTAGTAGACATCTGATGACCAGATATTCTTATATAATTATACTTTTCAATGGTTAATTGGTTTTTACCAGAATTGTATATCATTTATGAATGGGCAGACAAAAGACATTGTTCATCATGAACTTTGGTAGGCATGCTAGAGATTAGAATATTAAATTTTTTTTTCCACAGGAACTTGAAATTCTATCAATATTAACGATAATATCCAAAATATACAGGTCTATAATATCCAAAATATACCCCCTATATGGTATAAGTTTATTTATATTATATAGGGGGTATTTTTGGATATTATCATTAATATTGGTTATTTGATAGAATTTCAAGTTCATGTGGTATTTTCTTTGGAACATACAAAATAGTAGTCAAAATGAACAAAGTCTGTTAATTGATTTATTGGGAGGTCAATCTACTATTTTAATGAATTACTTCAAAAACCTCGTCTGACCCACCAGTGTGTTTACATTCCTATCAATAAACCCATAACAACTCATGTTAAAATTGCAGACGAAAGTTTCTGTTGTTAAAATGTCACAATATTCGGCAAATGAACATTCCACTCAAACTACCATAAAATCGATTGCCTTCAAACAAAATATAGAACAGTGTTAGCTAAAGAGACTTGAACTATAGTATACTACTGCTAGACCTGTTAACTGTCGCACAACGTCAAAATAAAAGCGACATTTAAAGTTATGAACTAGGTCTATTTAAATATTCACGGTAAAAATGTCATAAGTGCAATCAGGGCCGTAAAAAAGAAAACCGGAGAGACCTACGGAAAAGACAATTTCAAAATGATAATACTATGATATAACAATTCGTAAAAATGGCCTACTTAATTTTTTTCTATAGATTTATAAAGAGTGCAATTAATTGTTTGAATATGTTTGCATTTCATTTCCTGCAAAATTCTCCAGTTCGTTATTTATTACCATAGCGCGACACGAATGACCGTTTCGTTAAACTAAAACTACTTCTATAAATAGATTTTCGGACTTTCACAATGTTAAGGTCATCATTCTATTTATAGGTACAACAGAAACATACATAATAACCCACAAGATTAATAAAACAAAAAACGACGAGCGCGATTAATTGACGAATAAGATAAATCATTTGAATATGTTTGCATTGCGAACTTCTCCAGTTCGCTATTCCTTGTACATATCGCGAAATTTCATTTTTAATAATCAAACACCCTCATACCAATCGGAATGATCGGCTTTTATGACAGACGAAAAGCCCCGAGAAGTTGCAATTGCCCTTTAACAAAATCTGATTTCATTCCATAAAGGGCGTGTATTGTAGACAATTTATTTATATTAAAATATTATTCTATATTGATTTATGTCTTACCATGGGCTTTAACAAGTGGTCGTTTTATAGCGGTAGCGCTGATGTCGACTGTGCTTTGAAAATCTGCTTTTGCCGTGGATACAAGCGGTGGTGACGTGTGATAGCGGATAGCTCCTGCAAAGTAAAAACATTTTTCGTATTTCATATTAACTCTTCAAACATAAATTAACTTAAATTAATAAACATAAACCCTGCACCATTTTGACTAACTCTCCACTCAAGACAAAGTCACTTGTGCTTACAGTATCATCTAAGCTAAATAACTGTGGATTGATTCCACATAGTGCAGTGGTAATTACCTAAAGCTGTATTCATGGTACAAGCTATATACGATTTGCCAGCGTTTGCTGGCGTTTGACAAAGGCGTTCCATAACGTTAGTGTGTACTAGCCGTTGACAGCGTTTGTCAGTGTGAGTCAGCATATACTAGCTATTGTCAGCGTTATTTTTTTCTCTTGACGCAGACGACCTTTTGTTAAAGCAAGTACATTGTAATTATATTTGTCACAACCAAGTTACGTTTACTTATGTGTAATTTTCCTTATTATGTTGTTAAATTGTATAGAGCTATATACGTTTTGTATTTACTGCCTTTTATTGTAAAAGAATGACGTCAAAGTGCCTGTCTAAAAGAAGTATGCTGATATATTTCCTCAAAAGCAAATGTAACATGCTAAACAGTTAAAATCCTACCTAAAATGTTTAGCGTCATATTGTTTTCCTGGAAATTTTGGATATACATGTATCATAAAAATGCATTAATTGGTCACATCCTATATCCTATATCCTTTTGTGTATTTTGTTGCAGTTTAAATGAGATATACAGGAACGAGAAAGGAATGGAAGTGTGGAATACAAAACAGGCCAATAAACAAACTGTACACTATAGTTGCACTTCTACAGTCCTGAAAATTCCACTCTGTTATTTTATTGCCGCGTATTTATGTCCGTCGGCCGCCGCGAGACAAGTGTTCTGCGAAGGTGACATGCGCCCCAGGAGAGGTTTGTCAACTGTGTTTACAAAACCTCTCTGAAATCTTAAGCCTGTATTGGGACCTTTTTTAAATGATCACAACTTACAACAGAATTTCAAAACTTTCGAAAAACGCCGATATCCAGCACAACTTTAACCAGCCTCCGCCAGTCAACACTAAGTCTTTGAAAAACTTTTGTGAATGTATGCTTTAATTATACAGTCAACTACGTGTAGTTAGTACATTATTTACCTCCAACGTTTGGTCCATGAGCATACAGTAAATACCAGTCTGTGTCCATGTCGAAGAAGTTACTTGCACTGGGAGCAGCACGTTTCTTGCGGCCTGTTACCGTATTGAAGGTTTTACGTCTCAAAAACGAACATTTCAACTGCCCGTTACTATATGATGTATTGATAGCAGACAATCCGTACTGGTTCTGTTGATATTGATTAAAAGAAATGGCTTTCATTAGATTTCAATATAAGAATGGGATTTCATAAATATATGTTATCGAAAGTATAACAAATGTTTAGCAGAGTTTAATTTTATTTAAATATAAAAGTTATATCAGCCACCTATTCTAATGTAATGTTTTGAATAAATAACATTTCAATACCTTGAAGTTGAACCGTAATTGGTCGGTTTATTTCTAGAAATATGTTAAAAGAAAGCGCCCGAAATGAGAACAGGGCGGTATCTTCCTTGGGAGAGATTTTTTTCCGTTGTGATTTTGTCAAACCCGCTATATAAACCCCATATATAAATTAAAATTAGTAGAATCACCAAACTGAATTCTGTGAGAAGTTAGCAGTGAACAGTGAGCTAAGCAAAAAGGCATTTCAATTTATATAGGGAAGGTAATGATCTGCTGTAATGCTCAGCTGTTTTGGGCATCTAGCAGGGCATTCCTAAATATAGTGTTAAAATGCTCTGCTGCAATACTCAGCTGTCTTGGCAATCTAGCAGAGCATTCCTAGCTTTAGTGAAAAAATGCTCTGCTGGAATGCTCAGCTGGCTAGCTAAGCTGGCTATGCAATCTAGCAGTGCATTACTAAATATAGTGAGAAAATGCTCTGCTGGAATGCTAAGCTGGCTAGGCAATCTAGCAGGGCATTACTAAATATAGCGTAAAAATGCTCTGCTGGAATGCTCAGCTGGCTATGCAATCTAGCAGGGCATTACTAAATATAGTGAGAAAATGCTCTGCTGGAATGCTAAGCTGGCTAGGCAATCTAGCAGGGCATTACTAAATATAGTGTAAAAATGCTCTACTGGAATGCTTAGCTGGTTAGGCAATCTAGCAGGACATTACTAAATATAGTGTACAAATGCTATTCTGAAATGCTAAGCTGGCTAGGCAATCTAGCAGAGCATAACTAAATATAATGTAAAAATGCTCTGCTGGAATGCTAAGCTGGCTAGGCAATCTAGCAGGGCATTCCTAAATATAGTGAAAAAATGCTCTGCTGGAATGCTAAGCTGGCTAGGCAATCTAGCAGAGCATTACTAAATATAGTGTAAAAATGCTCTGCTGGAATGCTAAGCTGGCTAGGCAATCTAGCAGGACATTACTAAATACAGTGTAAAAATGCTCTGTTGGAATGCTAAGCTGGCTTGGCAATCTAGCAGAGCATTACTAAATATAGTGAACAAATGCTTTTCTGGAATGCTAAGCTGGCTAGGCAATCTAGCAGGGCATTACTAAATATAGTGTAAAAATGCTCTGCTGGAATGCTAAGCTGGGTAGGCAATCTAGCAGGGTTTTCCTAAATATAGTGTAAAACTGCTTTGCTTGAATGCTTAGCTGACTAGACAATCTAGCAGTGCATTCCTCAATATAGTGTAAAAATGCTCTGCTGGAATGCTCAGCTGGCTAGGCAATCTAGCAGGGCATTCCTAAATATAGTGTAAAAATGCTCTGGTGGAATGCTAAGCTGCTAGGCAATCTAGCAGAGCATTACGAAATATTGTGTAAAAATGCTCTGCTGGAAAGCTAAGCTGGCTAGGCAATCTAGCAGGGCATTACTAAATAAAGTGTTAAAATGCTCTGCATGAATGCTCAGCTGGCTAGGCACTATAGCAGAGCATTCCTTAATATAGTGAAAAAATGCTCTGGTGGAATGCTCAGCTGGCTAAGCAATCTAGCAGAGCATTACTAGATATAGTGTAAAAATGCTCTGCTGGATTGCTTAGCTGGCTAGGCAATCTAGCAGAGCATAACTAAATATAGTGTAAAAATGCTCTGCTGGAATGCTAAGCTGGCTGGGCAATCTAGCAGGACATTACTAAATACAGTGTAAAAATGCTCTGCTGGAATGCTAAGCTGGCTAGGCAATATAGCAGAGCATTACTAAATATAGTGAACAAATGCTTTTCTGGAATGCTAACCTGGCTAGACAATCTAGCAGGGCATTACTAAATATAGTTTAAAAATGCTCTGCTTGAATGCTAAGCTGGCTAGGCAATCTAGCAGGGCATTCCTAAATATAGTGTAAAAATGCTCTGGTGGAATGCTAAGCTGCTAGGCAATCTAGCAGAGCATTACGAAATATAGTGTAAAAATGCTCTGCTGGAAAGCTAAGCTGGCTAGACAATCTAGCAGGGCATTACTAAATAAAGTGTTAAAATGCTCTGCAGGAATGCTCAGCTGGCTAGGCACTATAGCAGAGCATTCCTTAATATAGTGAAAAAATGCTCTGGTGGAATGCTCAGCTGGCTAGGCAATCTAGCAGAGCATTACTAGATATAGTGTAAAAATGCTCTGCTGGAATGCTCAGCTGGCTAGGCACTATAGCAGAGCATTCCGTAATATAGTGAAAAAATGCTCTGGTGGAATGCTCAGCTGGCTAGGCAATCTCACTCGCAGACTTTCAGGAATTTTCGGTGCCAATAGAAATAATGATATTTTTGACTTCTAAGGACCTTTAAGAGACTATTTCATTGTCCTGCGACATTTTTAATGACACTCGCAGACTTTCAGGAATTTTGGTGCCAATGCTGATATTGACAATTAAGACTTCTAGGGACCCTCAAGAGTCCATTTTGGTCGTCTGCGACTGATTCTTGGACATTCGCAGACTTTCAGGAATGGTTGGTGCCAATGGAAATAATCATATTTCTGACTTCTAGGGACCTTTAAGAGTCCATTTCATTGGCCTGCAGCGTATTGTTGGACACTCGCAGACTTTCAGGAAAGTTTGGTGCCAATAGAGATGATGGCAATTTTTACTTCTAGGGACCCGCCAGAGTCCATTTTTATGGTCTGCGACTGATTCTGGGACATTCGCAGACTTTCAGGAATCTCTGGTGCCAATGGAGATAATGACATTTTTGACTTCTAGCGACCCACCAGAGTTCATTTCGCTGGTCTGCGACTGATTTTTGGACCCTTGCAGACTTTCAGGAATTTTGATGCCAATGGAGATAATGACATTTCTGACTTTTAGGGAACCGCCAGAGTACATTTCTTGGGTCTGCGACTGATTCCTTGAGACTCGCAGACTTTCAGGATGTTTAGTGCCATTGCAGATCATGACTTTTTTACTTTTACGGACCCCTTAGTCATAAGCAGAGCATTTTTACCCTAAAATGTCATTATCTGCATTAGCACCAAAAATTCCTGAAAGTCTGCAAGTGCCCAATAATCAGTCGCAGACCAACGAAATAGACTCTGGATGGTCAAAAATGTCATAAATTGTAATTATCTCTATTGGCACCAACAATTCCTGAAAGTCTGTGACTGTCCAAGATTAAGTCGCAGACAAAAAAATTGGACCCTGGATGGTCCCTAGAAGTAAAAAATGTCATTATCTGCCTTGACATCAAAAATTCCTGAAAGTCTGTGAGTGCCTCAGAATCAGTCGCAGACCAAAAAAATGGATTCAGAAAGGTCCCAATAAGTCAGAAATATCATTTTCTGCATTGACACCAAAATTCCTGAAAGTCTGCGAGTGACTCAGAATCAGTCGCAGACCAACGAAATAGACTCAGGAGGGTCCTTTTGAAGTAAAAGAAGTCCCAGAATCAGTCGGAGACCAAAGAAATAGACACTTGAGGGTCCCGTAGAAGTAAAAAATGTCATTATCTGCATTGGCACTAAATATTTCAGAAAGTCTACGAGTGCCAAATAATCAGTTGCAGTCCAACGAAATTTATACTTTATTTAAGAATGCCCTGCTAGTTTGCCTGGACAGCTCAGCATTCCGGCAGAACATTTTTACACTAATTTTCAGAATGCTTTGCTGGATTGCCTAGCCAGCTGAGCATTTTTAACACTATATTTAGGAATGCCCTGCTAGATTGCTTAGCTAGCTGAGCATACCAGCAGAGCATTTTTCGCACTATATTTTGGAACGCTCTGCTAGATTGCTTAGCCAGCTGAGCTTGCCAACAGAGCATTTTTACACTATATTTAGGAATGCTCTGCTGGATTGCCTAGCCAGCTGAGCATTTTTAACACTATATTTAGGAATGCCCTTCTAGATTGCCTAGCCAGCTGAGCATAACAGCAGAGCATTTTTACACTATATTTTGGAATGTCCCGCTAGATTGCTTAGCCAGCTGAGCATAACAGCAGAGCTTTTTACGCTATATTTTGGAATGCCCCGCTAGATTGTTTAGCCAGCTGAGTATAACAGCAGAGTATTTTTAACACTATATTTAGGAATGTCCTGCTAGATTGCCTAGCCAGCTGAGCATACCAGCAGAGCATTTTTACGCTATATTTTGGAACGCCCCGCTAGATTGCCTAGCCAGCTGAGCATACCAGCAGAGCATTTTTACACTATATTTAGTAATGGCCTGCTAGATTGCTTACCCAGCTGAGCATACGAGCAAAGCATTTCTACACTTTATTTTGGAATGCTCTGCTAGATTGCTTACCCAGCTGAGCATAACAGCAGATCATTGATTTCCCAATATAAATCGTAATGCCTTTTTGCTTAGCTCACTGTTAACTGCTAACTTCTCACATACAATTCTCTTTTTCTATTTGAAATGCTTTTCTTTTGCTCTTTTGCTATTAAGATTCAAGTAAGACCCAATCAAAAGACTAACTTATTTTAACTATACTTGAAAGACAAACAATGCTATGTATAAAAACTCAATCTTTATATCTACTTAAGTAAATCACATATTGTTCCATAATATTTGTTTTTCTTTAATTAAAGATATCTTTATCCGCACTGTGAACAAAACGAGCTGTGATTTTAGTTCTACAATGAAAATTGCACGTGCCATGCACACAACATGACATTATTCCTACATTGTTAAAATAATCCATTTGAACTGTGACATATCATGCTATTTATAAAAGCCTGTAGGTCATGGGTAGATTATAAATCTTACTTGTGGTTTGATTACTTCCCTAATCATGCACGGTGTCAACAGATTTTATATGACACAGTAAGAAAAAAAATTATGTAAAAATATACCTGATCTAGTCGTATGTTATTTTTGTCGTCCGAATTGTGCGAGACGTAGATATTAGATGTTCCACTAGTGGAGAGACATTCAAACACACTGTCATCGCCCTGTATTAGTTTATACAGAATTTATTTTAATCTGATTGTGTAAGAAGCTACAATATAAGCCTAAATACACACATGAATGATTTTCTGTAACCAACCAATACAAAACATATACTACGTAAACTTTCTTGCTCAAGGAAACAACGAGCTTGTCCATTGCGGGGTTTGAACCCACGTGTAAATTCTGAGATGACTAGTCCTATGTTTTAACCACTTGGCAAGATTTCAGTTACATTAAATAGCAATACATGTATATTTATTTTCAAAACACGTAACATTATTTTGGAATAGTTTTTCTTAAATTTGACAGTTAAGGAATAATCCATTATCAATTATTTGAACTGGTATGCTGTATTTCTATAATTTATTTATATATATAAATAATATAAAATATATTCATCATGATCAGATTTTTCGACGAGGAAACCGAATCTTTATGCTGGAAAAATACACATTAGAAATAGCAGTCATGTTGGATTCATATGTTTAAAAGTCTTTCAGTAACCGAAATATCACGCTTTGTTACATTCACGGTTACTTAGCTATAAAAATATAATATTCATTATTCATGATTATGGACCATTCAAGTAATAAGGATTTTAAGTTCTAACAACAGTGTTTAAGTCTCGTTGAGACTTTGTAGGTTCACCTTTTGTCTGGAAACACTTCGTGTACAAAGTTTCCTACTTGAAAAAGTACAATATCCTTAGTAAAATGTCATTCAATTGACTTCAAGAGTTATGCTATTTTAAGTTACCATTTCCGTGTCATCTGAAAGACCTATGGCACAGTAAGGATCTGTCTCGCTTCTCGCGCATGTTAGCGTCAGCTCTATGTCACTTCCCTTCTCTATCCACGTGAGAAGAAAACTACACGTGACGCCCGAGCAATCGTGAAAACATCCAACCGTCTTGCCGCACTCGCTGTCTTTCTGTACTGTCTATAGAAAAATAAAATGTAGGTAAATATTATGTAAGGTGAAACACAGGCTATCCCCGTGTGACAAATATAACCATGATGAAGACACAATGAAACAATGTTTAGTATAATTATACATCATGAACATGAAAAGAAACCCCAATAACTATATGGCATGAACATGAAAAAAAGCAACAATAACTATACGACATGAACATGAAAAAACAACTTTTTAGGCATTCTATATATTGACCAAGATGAAATAATTGTACTTTTCAGTCTTTTTTTATCTCTCTTTATTACATGCTTTTCGGTGGTTTATAGAAATATATTAGTGATATAAAACTGGTAATTTCACTGTTTGAAACAGTGAAATTACCACTTTGATAATTTCACTGTTTTGAATTTAAACCCCTTACGTTGTTTCAGTGAAATACCAGCGTACACAGTACTGGGTACCATATTAATGCCGTGACGTCGTAAATGACGTCACGTTGTATTATTATTTGGCGCACTTTTCATTCAGTGATAGGTTTAATGCCTTTTTACAACGTTTTTTGCATATAATAAAAAGAAAATTTATTTAGTTCAGTGTAAGATCGAAATATATTTCACCTTGTGAACACCAAAAGTTCATATTTCACTCGTGGCTGCGCCACTCGTGAAATATACCTTTTGGTGCTCACTCGGTGAAATATATTCCGATCTTACACTGAACTAAACAAATATCCTCTATTTCACACACTGAAAGTCTGTGGTAGAAAGATAATTAAATATGATTAACATAGTCCATAAAAAAATGAAAAATGTATAAAAAAATCGGTAAGTAGCGTAAACTCTCGTATAAAATCATATTAATATATATTTGAAAAAATATTTCTTTCATTATTGGTCATACCGATGCGATTCAGATTATAAAATATGAGGTGGAACACGTGGTACATATTCCGGATACCGGAATATAGCTAAGGTTACCAATGCACATATTTTTTGTGTGTCAAGTAGTATAAAAAAAGAAAATGGAGACAAGTACTTTAAAACACTACCGAAATCTTTAAGACAGTATTTTGATGATACTTTGAACAATTTTATAGGTATTTGAAAACACTGCATTTTTCATTTAATCATAACTGTTAAATATACGTTTTAATTACTTGTGTAACCGGTAAAATGAAACAGAGGTATAGAAAAATATTACGAAAAAGTCTATATAAACATAATTATTTAATTTTATCCATGAAATATGGTGCTATATCAGTCAAATATATTTCATATTTTTTAAAAATAAATATGAAATAAATATGAAAGTGGGCGGAGTTAAAACTCATATTTATTTTAAGGGACTTCTTTCGCCATTTTGTTTGAAAAATCTGATAAATAAAAAACAACTTTTTGTTGAATTTTGCTTTGAAAACTATCTAGAATGATAGAAAATGGTCTAACTAAGAAAATTAATCCGAACACCAATATCTTAAATTCAGTTATTAACGCTATACAGACGTTTAAACAGTTGTTTACGTGACGTCACAATGTAGCGCCAAATATATCGCGTGCAAAACAAGACGCAATAATATATTACTGCGCGCTGTACAATTGCAGTTGCGTAGCAAGCAATAGGGTTTGTAACCATTTTTCTTTGATAATGAAATTAAATAAAAAGGTTATTTTTTCGTTTTTCGTGAAATATGGTATATATTTTCACTCAACATGATAAAATGCCACATATTTTCACTCGCCGTCCCGGCTCGTGAAAATATGTGGCATTTTATCATGTTTCGTGAAAATATATTCCATATTTCACTCAAACGAAAAAATATCCTCTTATTATTTTGATTTTACAGCAAAAAATGTACAAACATAAATTAATATATCAATCAAAAATGTTCTTACCGCTGCCTCACTTAAAGTGATACCCACTATTAAAATGCACGTGAGGGAGATAACATAACTCATTTCGTTCTGGAACACGAGATATTTCCTGATCATTATTGTCGACATAAAATAACAAACTAACACATTCTCATGCACTTACTTAAATAGTAAGATATTCAAACTTTCTGTTCAAATTCTATAAGGGAACCATATAATTTGAAGTATGTATAAATCAAACGTGCATGTATCTACGAAAGACCGGTGGGGACATTTCAACTTCATGAATTTCCGATATAAGTTTTCAACGCACGGAATTCAGGAATTCACGCTTTCAACTTAATGAATTTATTATTTCAACTTCACGAATTCACGATCTC